GGACCAACGGCTTTACTTCCCTTCCGAAGGAAGACGTGACGAGAGATTTGTATGCCTCAGAAAAATCCCACCGACCTCGGCTGGGATTGAACCCAGACCCATCGGGGTGTTAGAAAGCAGTCACGCTTACCACTGCACCACCGGCGCCGATGTCGATCAATGGGCATTATTTTTTGGAACCTATGTTTTTGCTTACACCTCGGATGACTTCACCTGCGTTGTGGAAGTTTCCTCTAGTTTCGATAACAATACTTCCCACGCAACAGAGTCAGTTGCCTACTCAAAAAAGTCCACACGTCTGATCGAAGTGTTTAAGCACAATATTTTCATATGCACAATCACATTTATTTTAAGTGTATTTCACCATGGTTGAATGCGTTCTACACGTTGATTTCTAGTGTTTGAAACTATCTAATGTTGATAACCTTTCTCTATCAATTTAAGTGCATCACACATTGAATCTCACTACTGTTCAAAACAGTGGATTTTAAGTGTTTTGCATTTCAATCGAGCACATGACCTGTGACTTCTTCCTTAGGGATCGTCCATTAATTATGTCACACTTTTAGGGGGGAGGGGTGTTTTGAAAACTGTGACGAGCCTTACAAAAACAATTAAGGTCCATATAAAAAATGTGACAAAGGGGGCGGGGGAGGGGGGTTTAAAATGGGCCAAATTTGCGTGACATAATTAATGGACCTTCCCTTATCAACCAACCTCATATATGAGAACAACCGTGGCCCAGTGAGATCGAACGTAGACAACGGCAACAGCACATCCCAACAGTCCAAGATCAATTCCCAAATCAGCCCCATTAAAACAAGGCATGTGTATGCTCTGCCCTCTGGCTACTCTGTTCATATATTTGTCGATTGAATTTTGGAGTCGGCAAAGTAGAAGTCGATAAAGTAGAGTATTGTAGAACATTGTGAGGCACATAGACTCTAATGGCGGTAAGCTCCAATCGGTATTATCCTCGGATTAAATCCCGAACAAGAATGTGCGGCTGCTTTGATGTCGACATCATAGTTATTCAACACGATGATATGCAAACAATTCGCAGATCATCCAAACAGGGACGGTATTAAAAGTTAATCCGAGTTGGAGCTTACCGCCATAAGTGTGTTACAATTCGAACCAATAGTGTTGAGGTATGGTTCAAAGCATAAGATTCACACGTGAAATTGATGTGTTTCACAATAAGCGCAAAATTTAGGGTGAGACACATGATGATGACGTGTGAAGTTTTTTGAGTGTAGGTAGACGGTTTGACAATTCGATATGTAGATTATGGTTTCAGGCTGTGTAACTCTTATATTATCAACTCTGGTTAAACATCTTTGTCAATGGGAGGAGTTTAAAACCAACTAACCAGAGCATTCCATCAAAGCGTTTTGTTTACTTCATACGTAAAGTCTACGATTTTCTGAGTGGAGAGGAAATATTATACTTATATAAACAAGAAGCTTTTTGGTAAAGGAGTGCGCATTTGAATAGTATTGTTACATTAACACTCCGAATACGACAGGTAAAAAAGTTCACGCCGACTACGAAGCCTCCGAAAAACGTGTAACGGCCGTCCTCCGGAAGACCCGAAAGATCCTTAAAAATGGTTCATCCATGAAACTGATCCTAGAGCTCCGCAGTTTTTTTCAAAAACATTAGTAACTGTGATATAAGAAAGAATTTGGGTTCATGACATAAACCTGGACCTGGCTGGCCATAGGACCATCCTCCGGAAAATCAGAAACATCCATAAAAGTGGTCAATCCATGAAACTGATACTTGAGCTCCACAGTTTTTTCGAAAACACGTGGAACTTTTATATAAGAAAGAATTGGGGGTCGTGACATAAATATTGATCCAGATGGCTATGGAACCGTCCTTCGGAAGAGTCGGAGCATCGGTAAAATTGGTTTAGCCATAAAACTGATTCTAGAGCTCAGCAGTGCTTTTTTAAATCTCTTGGAACTGTGATATAAGAAAAAAATTAGGTCGGGGCGTAAACATGGACCTGGATGGGCATGAGACCATCCTCTGGAAGATCTGGAACATTCTTAAAAGTAGCAAATCCATGCAACTGATCCTAGAGCTCCGCAGTTTTTTTTTAAATATTAGGAACTGTGTTATAAGAATGAATTTGGGGTCGTGACATAAAAATGAACCTGGATGGCCATTGAATCGTCATTCGGAAGATCCGGAACATCCGTGAAAGTGTTTCATACATGAAACTGTGAAAAAACCGTGATTTTTTTTCGAAAATTTCACAGTTCGAAATGTTCTCGAGAAAACCGCGAAGTTCTAGAATCAGTATCATCGATGCACCGCTCCCAAGACCCCTAATAAATTTAAATATGACATTTCCAAGTGTTTTCGAAAAATACCGTGGAGGACGGACCGATGGCCATCCGGGTCCATGTTTATATCATGAACCAAAATTCTTTCTTATATCACAGCTCCTAATGTTTTCGAAAAAATAGCGGATTTCTAGGATCGGGGG